CAGGAGTGGGTGCTCGGGTACAGTGCCAGGTCTTCCTGAGGCATTGGGGGGGCCAGCTCGCCTGGAGCTGGGGTGGAGGGGTGACGGGCTGGGGGGGAGGGGGAGGGGGGGTTGTGCTTCAGGGGAACTAACGGGGCAGAGGCTGAAGGATAAAACCTAACGGGACCTAACTCTACATCCGGGACCTAACTCTACATCCGGGGAAGGGAGCCTGGCCCGCCCACGCCCCCGGTCGGGGGGCTGCTCGACGCGAGTGGTCTAGGAGGAGAATGCCCAGGAGAGGAGGGTAATTTCTGCAGGTCCCCGGCTTATGGCAAAATAGTAGATTTCTTGGCGGATGGGGGACCAGGAGGGGGAGACCGTAGGATATGGATTTCGTTACTGATGGACAGAGGAGTCGAGTTAGTAAAAGGCTTAATCGGCCGAAACCGGTGTGGCTCAGTGGATAGAGCCCCGGCCTGCGGACTGAAAGGTCCCGGGTTCGATTCCGGTCAAGGGCACGTACCTTGGTTGTGGGCACATCCCCAGTGGGGTGGGGGTGTGTGTGCAAGAGGCAGCTGATGGATGCTTCTCTCTCACTGATGTTTCTAACTATCCCTCTCCCTTCCGCTCTGTAAAAAAAAATCAATAAAAATATTAAAAAAAAGAAGTGAATGTCCTCTTATTTATTAGACACCCACACGCACGCCCGGAAAACCAGCTCAGAAAAGGGGGGACGGGAAGGGGCCGCTGGCCGCTGTCTGGAAGCGGAGAATGGCTGGCGAGCTCGACTCGGGGCTGCTTTTGTTTTGGGGGAGCATCCCGGTCTCGCTGCCAGCAGGGGCCACTCCCCCTTCCCTCAGCCTCGGATACAATTTGGCAAAAGCGATCCTGCTCGGGGAAGAGCGGGTGCCTCTGACCGTCCCCCCCACTCCGGGCCTCCGCACGCCACGGACGGCTCCTTGTCACGGCCTCTGAAGCATCCAAGGAGCTGGTGGCTCTGAACAAGGGGCCACGGAGGAAGGAAGGAAGGCATCGGAGGGGGCATTTGGCAGGTTCTGTGCCCCCGATCGCCAAGGGGTGGGGTGCCTGACGTAAGGAGGTGCGTACAGGCCCCCCACCCCTCCCCGCGCGGGGAAACGCTCTGGTTTTGCTTGTGGCTTCGCTTCAAACCGGAAGGATTTGAATGGCGTTGCCACGATCCTGGGGGACGTAGGGGGGAGATATTCAAGTTAAGGCTTTCTGGTCAGAGAAAGGGGTTCCAGATGATGTGGTGAGCGGGTGCCGCGGGCAAATGCTTCTTAGCAACTCGGGACACAACGTGGGGTGTCAGGGATCTCGGTTTTATCTCCAGGCCAGAGAGAAGGGCCCCCCACATCCCGGACACCTGCCTGCCGGGCACACACAAGCAAGAACACACGCATTGTCCCCCCTCCCCGGGAACTGGCGGGATGAATGACCCGCGGAGTCACAGGCGACAAAGCGCGCTCTCATCCGGGCTTGGATGAAGACGGCGGTTTGAGAATGAAAGCGGGAGCTGGGAGGATGTTTGTTCCGGGAACGCTCAGCGCCCTGCCCAAGCCGCACAGAGAGACGGGGCATCTGCCTCCGGCCAGCAGCCGCACCTGCCCCGGTCACGCGGCCAAGCCCCCGGGACAGCGAGACGCTGAGATGAGGATGGAGACGCCGAAGAGAAGCCGAAGACACAGGCGGAGGCAAGGTCAAGGTCGTCGCCCGCAAAGCCTGACGCAGCAGCTCCCTCCCCAGGCCCCACAGGGTGAGAACCAGGGGCCCTGACTCAACGGATTCCAAAGCAAGGGCTGCAGGAGCCGGCAGGAACGTTCGGGAAGATGACTTGTGCGTCGATGAGTGGTTTCAGAGAGACGGTCTAGGACAAGCGTGTCAAACTCGCGGCCTGCAGGACTGCAAGCCACCTCGAGGCGTGTGGCCCGCTGGCCTCGAGTTTGACATGCGTGGTCTGGGGTCACTGGGCCTCAGGAAGGTGAAGCGGCTGCCCCCCATCCAGGGTGAGGTCCCCTGCACCCCGCTTCCCCTTCCAGGCACATCTCCCCTCCTGGGATCTGTCACAGGCCCCCCACCACGCCGCTGAGAGCTGACAATGACCGTGACCACAAACAGCCTTCTCTCCAGGCCGCCCTGGAGGCCCTGGTGCAAACTCACAGCAGAGAAGTGATGGGTTTTTTTTATGGATGTTTTTTCCCCCATTGATTTTTCAGAGAGAGAGAGAGAGAGAGAGAAACATCGATGTGAGAGAGACACATCAATGGTTGCCTCCCGCCTGCCCCCTGACCAAAAGCCAGGAGCCTGCCACCGAGGTACGCGCCCTTGACCAGAATCGAACCCGGGACCCTCCGTCCGCAGGCCTACGCGCTATCCACTGAGCCAAACTGGCCAGGGCAAGGGGTTTTCTTCAAGGCTGTTAAAACGCCCTCTCACAGAAGTGCATCAAGGAGACCTGACACCATTTTCCAAGAATCGGTTACTCATGTGTCTTCAAATTGTCTGGGGGGGGGGGCGGGGGGGGGGGCAGGGGGTTCAACCAGAAGGAACGTCGGGACCCCCTCCTTGGCTTTTAACGTGTTATTCCTGCGATTGAACTGTCTGGGTCTTTGCAACTTGCTACATCCTTCATCTGATTTCAGAATAGAACGTTCAAAAGCTCAAGCTCAAGCCTGAACAGCCGGAAGAAATGAATGGCTTTTCCCACGGCCCCCAGGAATGAATGACTTTGGAAGCAGAGCGGAGGGGAGCGGGAGGGAGGGAGGGAGGGAGGCGGACGCTGACCCACATACAGGACGCCGCTCCCTTGTTCACCAGGCGAGCTCGCCTCTCCGGCCGTTCAATGCCCTGCGCGCCCATTCAGGGCAAACAAGACTGTCCCTGTGGAGGCGGCCACAGCCACCCCCTCGTTTCCGCGCCCGAGGGCCTGGCGCTGGACAAAGGCCTTCAGTGGCCTCCGTGTGAGAGCCATTCAGAGGCACACACTGCAAAGCGCTCAGCTGGGCCGCCGCCCGCTCGGCTCCGGGGGGTGAATTCGGTCGGGTGGCAGCACAGGAGGTGCCCCAAGCCCTGCCTTCTCCCCCTCCTCACCTGCAGGGGGGGGCACCTGGACCACGCTGTCTTTCCTCTTTCCGGATGGAGCTGGGAGCTGGCCGCTAGCGCCTCAGAGCAGGTGGAGAGAGGGGACCCGGGCAAACGACAAGGAGATGGATGGTCACAGGAACCCATGAAGTCACTGCGTTTCACAGGAAGTCTTAAGAGGCGAAGGGGGTCGTGGGAGTAGGACTGAGAATCTTCTGGATCGCAGCTGTGGCTGTCGGGGGGCGGGGAAGTGACAGGGGACAAGGGCAGGCTTCCGGACGGGGGGGGGGGGGGGTAAAGCGCCACTCTGTGCTAAAACAACGCGAGAAGGAAACGCAGTAGAAAAAGAACAACTTGGGGAGGACGGTGTCACCAGGACAAACTGCAGCAGAGTCCGGGCCACAGGCATCATCATCTTTCGAGACAATGGCTGTTCCTGATGTTATTCGTTAGTTCGATCTAGCGATTGTCAGCAAATAGTTTCTCCAGCTCAACAGACATCTCCTGCCACAGTCACGTGGTGGGGGGTGGGGGTGGGGGCGATCCTCAAACTGTGTCCACCTGCGGCCACAGGGGTCGGCCCCCGAGCCCCCAGGGGACCCCCTGCGCCCCCTTCCACACCCGCACGGACCTCTCCTCCTCCTCCCGTCCGCCCCGGAGCCAAGGGGATGACGCGGGGCACGTTTTGAAGCACCCGGGCCACGTCTCTCGGAGTTCCATTTCGCTCCGGACAGCGACTGCGGGTTCTGCAAAGCGCAGGGTTTGTGTGCATTCAGGTACACAGGACTGGGGGAAAGTACTTGAAACGTCAGAGTGACCGTTTCGCCGGGGAGGACCCGCGGGGAGAGGCCTCTATGAACTAGGGAGTTAAGGATACGCTTGCAGGAAAACACCTCCTCAGGTTGGGAAGGTCTCGCTCCCATCTCAGGTCCAGCTTCTGGATGTTTGGTAGCAAAAGCCAGAGTTGGGGAGAGACCCGGGTTAAAAGACAAGATTACAAGCGAGCGCGTCGTAAGACAAGGCCCCGCAGACGGCTTTATGGGACGGGAGGAGCAGACAGACAAACCGACAGAAGAAGGCAAATGATGACGTCTATGTGGTTAGACCAGAGGGCAGCTCCCGGGTCCTCCCACCTGTCTGTCTCTCAAAATCTCAGGGGAAGCGAGTTTGTCATTGAACTTCAGGGCGGGGAGCGACCTCAGCCGGCAATCTACCTGGTTCAAGGGCCCCATTTCACAGGCGAGGGAGGTCAAGTTCAAGGGGGCCTTCCCAGGGTCATCTAGCCGGTGAGAAGCAGAGTCTGGAGTGGTCACAGGGGGGACCCCTGGGAGCTGGGTGACCCCTCCTCCGACTATGGATTTTAATAAAAAGAGCTGAAACCGGTGTGGCTCAGTGGATAGAGCGACGGTCTGCGGACTCAAGGGTCCCGGGTTCGATTCCGGGCAAGGGCATGTACCTTGGTTGCGGGCACATCCCCGGTAGGGGGGTGTGCAAGAGGCAGCTGATCGATGTTTCTAACTCGCTGTCCCTCTCTCTTCCTCTCTGTAAAAAAAAAATCAGTAAAATATATTAAAAAATTAAAAAAGCTACTGAGATGTTTCTGATGGGAAGGCCAGTTTGCCGGGCGATGAGGATCACCGGGGGCACTTGTCAAAAATTAAAATCCCCAGGCCCTTTCCCAGGCCCGTGGTGTCGGCCTCTCGTCGGGGAGGGACCTGGGAGGCTGAATTTTTAATAAGTGCCCCCGGCCACTCTCAGCGCCTGCAAGGGGCCGGGACGCTGTCCTAGGAGCGAGCGAGCGAGCGAGGGAGGGAGAAGCTTGGCTTGTGATCCAGGCGGTTTTCTCTGCCCTAAGGGGCCCCGGGTTCGGGGCTGACCTGCACCTCCGCCGAGGGCCCGGCGTGGCGAGCGCTTTTTCGGGATCCACGCAAGGACACATCCGGTCGCCACCGAATGACTGACCGACGCCCTTCGTTGTTCTTGGGGGAGGGCCCTTTTGATCGGCAAAGCAAAACTGCTGTCCTGACACCTTTTTTTCCGTAGGGAAAACTAGACGAGATTGGCTGAAAAGCAATCGTGCGGATGACGCTACACCGGACAGGAGGCCGAGAGAGACGCTGCCTGTGGCGCTTGTCACCACGGAAGGACATCGCAACGGAGAAGAACAGGGAACTAAGCACAAAAATAGCCTGGAGCGCCCGGGGTGGCGGCCCCCGCTGATGGGGTGAGGTCAGATCCAGGTCGCGGAGGGAGGGGGAGACCTGAACAGCCGGGGAGGGACGTCCGGGTTCGAGGGGGGGCGGCTGGAGGGCCGTGGTCCGGGGGCCTCACTCCGGGCCGGCCTCCACCTGCTCGGTGTCGGCGGCGGCAGCGTCGGCGCACTGCAGCTTGCTGCGCTCCCACTGGCAGACGGCGTTGGCGTACTCCACCACCAGCTTGTCCATCCACGTCAGCGGCTCGGGCAGCAGCATGGAGCCCTCGAAGAAGCCCAGGTGGCCGCCGTGCAGGGGCAGCACGAACATGACGTTCTCCCGCTTCTCTGCAGGGGGAAGGCGGCCGTGAGGCCCTGTCCTACAAGGGCGTCCGACCGCCACCCGCTGCCTCATTCACCTCCGTGGGGAAGAGGGACCTAGCAGGCTGGAGAGCGGCAGCTTGGCGGAGCAGAGCAGAGCAGAGCCTGTTCTCAAACACGGCTGCGTGGGCGCACGCAGGGGTTTGGAAAGATCTCTGTGCGGCGCCCTAGCTGGTGTGGCTCAGCGGATAGAGCCTGCAGACTGAAGGGTCCCGGGTTCGATTCCGGTCAAGGGCACATGCTGGGTTGCGGGCTCGATTCCCAGTAGGGGGCCTGCAGGAGGCAGCCAGTTGATGAATGATTCTCTATCATCATTTAAAAAAATATTTTATTGATTTTTTACAGAGAGGAAGGGAGAGGGGGGAGAGAGAGAGCTAGAAACATCGATGAGAGAGAGACATCGACCAGCTGCCTCCTGCACACCCCCTACTGGGGATGTGCCCGCAACCAAGGTACATGCCCCTGACAGGAATCGAACCCGGGACCTTTCAGTCCGCAGGCCGAGGCTCTATCCACTGAGCCACACCGGTTTTGGCTCTCTCATCATGCCTCTCTCTCTCTCTCTCTCTCTCTCTCTCTCTCTCCCTCTCCCTTCCTCTCTGAAATCAATAAAAAATATATATATTTAAAAAGAAAGATCACCAAGCAGCGTCCAGACCAGTTCCATCAGGATCTGAGTTGGGGTGGGGGGTGTGGGTGGGAGAGGAACCAGGCACTGCAGCTGCTTAAAGCCCCCACATGACTCGCCTGTGCAGCCAAGCACGCCCCAGCTCTGTGCACCGGAGCCCCGGGGACGTCGCCTTAAAATGCAGGCGCTGCTCTGCCGGGCGGTGAGGGCCGCTGAGCTCCAGGCGGGGCCGAGGCTGCTGGGGGGAGGGGTCCTGGGAAGGGCTCCCAGCCCGGCATTTACAGTCATTATTGTGGGAACAAGGCAGCTCAGTGAGCCGACGGCTTCTCACGCCATTTATCTTCTAAGACGGGAACATAAAGCTGCCGGTGGTGCTTCAAACAATCGACAAATTGTTAAAAACCGGGACTGTCCCGTCAAAAGCGGGACGTCCGGCCGCCTTCTTAAAGACGCCCACGCTCGCGGGGCACCTGCTCAGCATGGATGGGTGAGGCTGGTTGCAAGCACAGCCAGCATGGAGCGGGCAGCTCCGGGGCAGCTGTCTTCCCAGGGGGTGCCAGACAGCGCCCCCTGCTGGCTGCCCGGGGTGGGCGACACTTCCTGGGGGGCCCTTTCTTGCCTGATCCCCTGTACCCTGTCCCTGCGCCACTATATTTTTTTTTAATAAAAATACATTTTATTGATTTTTTCACAGAGAGGAAGAGAGAGGGATAAAGAGTGAAAAACATGGATGAGAGAGAATCATGGATCAGCTGCCTACTGCACACCCCCTACTGGGGATGTCCCCGCAACCAAGGCACATGCCCTTGACCGGGATCGAACCCGGGACCCTTCAGTCCGCAGGCCGGTGCTCTATCCACTGAGCCACACCGGCCTCGGCCCTGCGGTCACTATTGCGTACGTTCCTGTGCCACGGCAGCAGAGCTACGGCTGGGTGTAGGGAAGGAGGCACACACGCTGCTTTCTCTGTGTGCTGCCCGCGCGGCTGAGGGGGCGGGTGACAGGAGAGAGACTTTACCCCATCCCGCGCGTGGCACGCACTGCGTGGTGCCCCCGAGCTCTCTGCGGGCGGGCGGGCGTGGGTCCTTGTCTGCCGTAGTGTCTACCCTTCCAGCTTGGGGTCCCGAGAGAAGCAGAGGCGTACCCCTCTCTCTTCCAGGTAACATGTGGTCCTTACAGAGGACATGCAGGGAGACGAGGTCCTAGGAGCGCCAGGGTCCCCGCCCGCCCTCGACCCGTTATCTCTCCTCCCGCTCCCGCTGGCGCTGGCTAACGCTCCCCCCGGCCACAGCCTGCTTTTCCAGCTGCTTATATTTTTATCCTCAAAGCAGACGGAGAGGCTGGCTGTCACGCGAGGTTTTCTTTATTTGTCGTTTGCTTTTCGGGTCGAGGCTGAAGTGCAAATACCGCTTTAAGCCAAACTCGCAGACTCAGGAGCCATACCCCTGAGCCGCTCCTAAGGGACGGTCCTGCCTCCTGCACGGGGTGGCCACGGGAGGGACAGCATGCGAAGGGGACAGAGTGGCCGGCAGTCTGCCGGGGGCATGAGGGAGCGGCGGGAGAGACACTCACCCGAGAGAGATTTTGGAATGCTCAGAAGGCTTTCGTGGACCAAGGGGTCATCGGCCGCATTGACCAGCATGAGGGGCACGTAGATCTGAACCAAGGAGAGAGAGAGAGAGAGAAAATGAAGCGATTGCTCTGATTCTGTGGACGCCACTGATCCATGGGTTCAAGTTCACGCCCGACCTGGTCCCTGCTCGGCGTGCTGGACAGGTGGGTGAGGGGCACCTGGTCCCCGGATGGCCAGCCGCTGCTGTGACTCCGGCCCTGGCAGGCGGGGTGGGGGTGGGGTGGGGATGGGGTGCTCGGACACCCCTGGACCGCCATGCTGGGAGAGCATGCATGCCTGCGTGGGCTAAGCTGGGGTCCCTGGCTTGGCGCTGGGATGGTGCAGGTGGAGACGCCGGAAGCCTGGGTGTGAGGCTGAGCTAGGAGGGGTGGCCGAACTGCATCCCACAAGGCCCTGCTTCACCAACAGGTGCTCCCTGGGGTGGAAAGAGCCATTGTGCAAACACAGAATGAGAGAGAGACCGGTGGTGGTGGTTCAGGCACAAAAACATATGGGGGCGCCTCTAGCCGGTATGGCTCAGTGGATAGAACACCAGCCTGCAAGCTCAAGGGTCCCGGGTCCAATTCCCCGTCAAGGGCACATGCCCAGGTTGTGGGCTTGATCCCCAGTTGGGGGCGGGCAGGAGGCAGCCCATCAATGATTCTGTCTCATCATTGATTTTTTTTATTCTTTTTTTTTATATATATAATTCTTTATTGATTTCAGAGAGGAAGGGTGAAGGAGAGAGAGAGGGGAAGAGAGAGAGAGAGAAAGAGAAAGAGAAAGAGAAACATCAATGATGAAAGAGAATCATTGATCGGCTGCCTCCTGCACGCCCCCTACTGGAGATTGAGCCTGCAACCTGGGCATGGGCCCTTGACCGGAATCGAACCTGGGACCCTTCAGTCTGCAGGCTGACTCTCTATCCACTGAGCCAAGCCAGCTAGGGGCATCATCATTGATGTTTCTATCTCTCCCTTCCTCTCCTTTCCTCTCTGAGATTAATAAGAATTTTTAAGAAATATGGGGGCTATGTTGGCCGCAAACTTAATTTAATACGCATGGAGTTCATTATAGCTGCTCTAACTGCATTAGTATAAACCTAGTCTCTTTGTCAACACACGTATTCCTCCTTGTTTTGGCAGAGAAATATACCTACTGTTTTACTATGATCGGCAGATCATGGCAGGACCTCTTAATTCAGCCCGAGGCAGCACACTAACTAAACCACCAGGGCCAGAGGAGGGGCCAGTCCTGCCCTGCACCAGCGGACAGCACAGGGACTGCACAGGGAAGTCGCAGAGGGACAGGGCGGCAGAGGGACGGGGCGGCAGAGGGACAGGGTCGCAGAGGGACGGGGTCGCAGAGGGACGGGGTGGCAGAGGGACGGGGTGGCAGAGGGACGGGTCACAGAGGGACGGGTCACAGAGGGACGGGGTCGCAGAGGGACGGGGTGGCAGAGGGACGGGGTCGCAGAGGGACGGGGTGGCAGAGGGACGGGGTCGCAGAGGGACGGGGTGGCAGAGGGACGGGGTGGCAGAGGGACGGGTCACAGAGGGACGGGTCACAGAGGGACGGGGTCGCAGAGGGACGGGGTGGCAGAGGGACGGGGTCGCAGAGGGACGGGGTCCCAAAGGGACGGGGTGGCAGAGGGACGGGGTCGCAGAGGGACGGGGTCACAGAGGGGCAGGGTGGCAGAGGGACGGGGTGGCAGAGGGACGGGTGGCAGAGGGACGGGTGGCAGAGGGACGGGGTCGCAGAGGGACGGGGTCACAGAGGGACGGGGTCGCAGAGGGACGGGGTGGCAGAGGGACGGGGTCGCAGAGGGACGGGTGGCAGAGGGACGGGGTGGCAGAGGGACGGGGTTGCAGAGGGACGGGTGGCAGAGGGACGGGGTGGCAGAGGGACGGGTGGCAGAGGGACGGGGTCGCAGAGGGACGGGGCTGCAGAGGGACGGGGTCGCAGAGGGACGGGGTCACAGAGGGACGGGGTGGCAGAGGGACGGGGTCCCAGAGGGACGGGGTGGCAGAGGGACGGGGTGGCAGAGGGACGGGGTCGCAGAGGGACGGGGTGGCAGAGGGATGGGGCGGCAGAGGGACGGGTCACAGAGGGACGGGGTCGCAGAGGGACGGGGCTGCAGAGGGACGGGGTCGCAGAGGGACGGGGTCGCAGAGGGACGGGGCTGCAGAGGGACGGGGTCGCAGAGGGACGAGGTCGCAGAGGGAAGGGGTCGCAGAGGGACGGGTCACAGAGGGACGGGGTCGCAGAGGGACGGGTCACAGAGGGACGGGGCTGCAGAGGGACGGGGTCGCAGAGGGACGGGGCCGCAGAGGGACGGGGCTGCAGAGGGACGGGGTCGCAGAGGGACGGGGTCGCAGAGGGACGAGGTCGCAGAGGGAAGGGGTCACAGAGGGACGGGGTCGCAGAGGGACGGGGTCACAGAGGGACGGGGCGGCAGAGGGACAGAGTTCAGGTTAATAATTAACCGCGTTAACAGCTGGACGGTCTGAGCCAGGCTCTGGAGGCCAAGCTCCCAGCGGGCGGGTAGGAGGGGCTGCAGGCAGAGGCGGGCGGAGGCCGGGGCCGCCACTCACCCTGTGCAGGTACCGCATGCAGCTCTCCTGCTCGTAGTACTCCTTCAGGGACGTGTAGCCGTGGAACTTCCTGCCGCACACACGGGGAAAGGACAAAACGCGTGTCACCAGATGGGGCTGCCCTCCCGCTCGGCTCCCGTGCTGACCGGCCAGGCACACCGGTGGCGAATGCCTGGCACCAGAGTTAGGGCTCGGAGGCCCGGCTTTGGCGCTGGGTTCCAGTCCTGACCCTTCCGCTCACTGCTGTGGGACCTGAGGCAGAGGGTTCACCCTCTCTGAGCTTCTCCTCTGCAAACGGAGCGAAGGACACGGCCTTCTTAAAGGCGCTGACGTCTCTGACACTGAGGTGTGTCCCAGCCCCGCGACCGGCCCAGAGAAGTCACTCGATCAGTGTCATCGACGGTGACTATTGGCAGATGTTACACCTTCCGAGGCAGCGTAAAGCCACATGTCACCGGGCACGAAGAAACTGAAATCCAGCCGAGACCGGTGTGGCTCAGTGGATAGAGCGTCAGCCTGTGGACTGAAAGGTCCCGGGTTCGATTCCAGTCAAGGGCATGGACCTTGGTTGCGGGCACATCCCCCCAGTGGGGGGGGTGCAGGAGGCAGCTGGTCGATGTTTCTCTCTCATCGATGTTTCTAACTCTCTGTTCCTCTCTGTAAAAAATCAATTGTGTGTATATATATATATATATATATATATACCGTGTTTCCCGAAAATAAGACCTACTTACAGGTTTCCTTCTGAGTGAAATATAAGGCATCCCCCCGAAAATAAGGCCCCCCCCCCCTCAGGCTAAACATGAGAGATTTGGTCCACTGATTCCGAAAGAAATGGAGTCACAAGAAATTCACCAGGAAATTCAGGAATTGGGTTGTTGTGATGACGTTCCAGAAGAGGATGACATGATTGTCATCGAATAAATGAGGCAATTCTTGCTACTGTAGGATTCATAGTGTGTCTGGTTTGTGTTGACAATGACCGTACTACCGTACCGTATACAGGTAATAAATTTCCTTTATGTTCATTTAACAGTATATGTGTACCGTATTCTTCTTCATGGAAAAATAAGACATCCCCTGAAAATAAGACCTGGTGCATCTTTGGGAGCAAAAATTAATATAAGACACTGTCTTATTTTCGGGGAAACAGGGTGTGTATATATATACACACACACACACACACACTCAATCAGTGTCATCGATAGTGACTATTGGCAGATGTTACACCTTCCGAGGCAGCGTAAAGCCACATGTCACCGGGCACGAAGAAACTGAAGATCCCAAGGAATGTACTAGGATTTCTTTACAAGAGCCTTCGCGGCAGAGTGACCCGCTGGCCCGCCCGGCCCCGCTCCCGAGCGCGCGCGGACCCACCTCATCACGTTGTCGTCGATCTGCATCAGGGACGTGGCCATGTGGAGGCGGCTCAGGTCCGAGTCCTCCAGCGCCTGCGGCTTCTTCACGTGGTCTCCGAACAGCGCTTGTCTAGAGGGAGGACGAGGCAAACAGGAGGACACGCGGGTGAGAGACCAGGCGAATCCCACGCACGCTGGGACAGAGAGTTAGAGAGACCTCCATCAGCTGCCTCCTGCACGCCCCCTCCTGGGGATGCGCCCGCAACTAAGAAGACAATCCTAACGAGGAGTCCCGCTCTTATTCCTGAGAGCTCCCGCACGCTGGGCCTGCTCTGACCGGCCAGGGCTGACTGCCTGGGGGCTTCAGAGCAGGAGGGGCCGGGGGAGCACGGAGATCTGACACCACAGGGGGGCACCAGGCATCATCATTGATGTTTCTATCTCTTCCTTCCCCTCTGAGATCAATCTATATATATAAAAGCCTAAACGGCCATCCGGCCAGTAAAATACGACGTGCAATGAGCACCAGGGGGCTCCTGCCCCACTGCTGCTGGGTCAGGCGCCCAAGACCCCAAACACAAAGCGTCCTACGGAGAGAGAGAGAGAGAGAGAGGTTCCTGAGCAGGAACCAGCCGCCCCGGGACGGCCTGGGCTTGGGGGGCTTGGGGAGGAAAGGTGTGGGCGCCGTCCCTCCTCTTGGATTCACCGGGAATGGCGATGGCGGCCAGCAGAGCGCCTGCGTCTCCTCCCGCATCGCGTTCCCCTGAGAACCAGAGGCCTGGCCCTCAGCGACGCCCCAATGCGCCGAGGAAGGCCCGTCCCGCCCGAGGGGAGGGGACGCACCTGTGGGAGAGGATGATCTTCTTCATGTTGTCGGCCATGAGGAAGTTGTAGAAGCGGCGGCACTGGTCCCACTGCATGAAGGTCTCCTGGGCCCTGGAAGAACCGCAGGAGGGGGATGGGGTGCGTGCTGGAGAGGAAACGGGGGGCAGGGGGCAGGGCAGCAGGCTGGGCGGCTCCTGCCACTGACGAGGGCCTGCAGGGAGCGCCTCTCCCTGCGGTGGGAGGGGGCTTTGCTGGCACTCACACTTAGTTTTCTGTTGCCTCTCTTTTTTAAAAAAAATATATTTTATTGATTTTTTTTACAGAGAGGAAGGGAGAGGGATAGAGAGTTAGAAAACATTGATGAGAGAGAATCATGGATGGGCTGCCTCCTGCACAACCTCCACTGGGGATGTGCCCGCAACCAAGGTACATGCCCTCGACCGGAATCGAAACCGGGACCTTTCAGTCCGCAGGCTGACGCTCTGATCCACTCAGCCAAAAACGGTTCTCGGCCTAGCTTCTAGTTTTAAAACATCTTTTTGTAAGAAATTACAGCATAGCTGCCCGGCTGGCCTGACTCAGCGATTGAGCATCGATCTATGAACCCGGGGGTCACGGTTCGATTCCCAGTCAGGGCACATGCCCGGGTTGTGGGCTTGATCCAAAGTGTAGGGCGTGCAGGAGGCAGCCCATCCATGATTCTCTCTCATCATTAATGTTCTCTCTCTGTCTTTTCCTCTTTGAAATCAATAAAAATATTTAGTAAATTAAAGTATAGTTGACATGCAACGTTATACGAGATTCAGGTGTACAGCAGTTACCTGACATTTATACACCTTACTGTGCGATGCTGCAATAAGTCAAGTCTGTCACCCTACAGAGCTAATAGGACAGTGCTGACCATATTTCCTGTGCTTGCAGCCTCATGATTACTTGTTTTATTGTTTTTTATGATTCCTTGTTTATAATTGCATGCTGCTACTTATTCCCTCCACCATTTTGCTCATCCCCCGCCCCCCCTCCGCCCCCTTCTCCCCCTTTCTCCTCTGGCAGCACTCAGCTAGCCTCAAATCCAACGCCCTGGTTTGCCAAATGTGCGGACCAGGTGCTCTTGCCACCAGCAGAGGGCGCTGCTGCCGCAAAATGAAAAAAAGGCTGCCTGCCAATTTTGTTCATTGGACAACACAGGCAGAGAAGTCGGTTTTCGGCTCTCCAAAGAAACGTCAATCGCTGTGCTGTTGGTATTTGACTCTGTTGACTAAGGAGTTTGCCGACCACTGAGATCTAGGGTCGTAAGGCCCAGCCGGCAAACTCTGGTTAGCCCACCATCTTCTGTGTCTTTCCTACCCTCCCTCTCATGTCCCCTCTCCCCCGCCGGCGTGCAAAACTCCTGCAGCACAAACAGAGGAAGGCTTTCCGCAGACTCCACAGGGAAATGGCTGCTGGGTGGGAGCTTTGGCTCGCTCAGCTACAGATCTGGCCCGAATACAGCCGCTTGTCCCAGGCGGAAGGGTCTGGCAGGGCCACTCCTGTGTATGACGTGCAAGCAACGGCCCAGAAACCTCTGCTCCGCCTGCCACAGCCTCTCCCGGGGTCCTTGCGAAGCAGCGTGAGGTGCGCAGGGGCCTCTCAGCTAACGGAAGGGCCGAGGGGAGACGGGGGTGTGGGCCTGGGGCGGGGGCGCTCACCTCAGCGCGCTGTACCCCTGGCACACGCTGACGCAGCACAGCACCTTGTCTTGGTTGGCCTGCGTCTCCCCCAGGTATTTGCACACGATGTTGCCGCCCAGGCTGAAGCCCACGACCACCAGCTGGGTCAGGGGGTATGTCCTCTTGATGTAGTTGACCATGGCTCCGAACTCCCAGGTGCAGCCTGCGGGCGGAAAGGTGAGGGCCTGTCATCATGTCAGGCGCGACAAAGACCAGAGAAGATGTGACATGGGGGGGGGGGGGGAGGAAGGGGTTGCTAATCGGATGCCGAGATATTAACAGAGGGAAGTGTGTGTGCAAAGAGAGACAGACAGCCCTTAACCGGTGTGGCTCAGTGGATAGAGCGTCGGCCTGCGGGCTCAAGGGTCTCAGGTTTGGTTCCTGTCAAGGGCATGGACCTTGATTACGGGCACATCCCCAGTAGGGGGTGTGCAGGAGGCAGCTGATCGGTGTTTCTCTCTCATCGATGTTTCTAGCTCTCTATTCCTCTCCCTTTCTCTCTGTAAAAAATTAAAATATTAAAAAATAAATAAATAAATTGCTATGGAAAAGGATGACATGGAGTCGGACATGCTGACATGGAACCACTCTGTGCCATCTCACTGAGGGGCAAAAACAAGGGCAAAGGAGGACTGGCACCATCTCATGCATGTACTTGGGCTCTCCAGAGATTATATGTGCACACGCATCTGGTCGAATAATCGCTGAAAAGTGGTAGCAGTCATTAATTTTCTGGGGGGGAGGTGGCAGACTACAGTGGGACAGGACATAGTTTTACTACTGTCCTCGGACTACTGCACTGGCTATTAAAAAATAAATACCAAAATTATTTTAAAATAAATTTTTATTTTATTATTATTTTTAAAATATATTTTATTGATTTTTTTTTTTTAAAGAGAGGAAGAGAAAGAGGAATATAGAGTTAGAAACATCGATGAGAGAGAAACATCCATCAGCTGCCTCCTGCACACCTCCCACCGGGGATGAGCACGCAACCAAGGTACATGCCCTTGACCGGAATCGAACCCGGGACCCTTCAGTCTGCAGGCCGATGCTCTAACCGCTGAGCCACACCGGTTTTGGCTTAACATAAATTTTAAGTTAAAGTTTGCTTTCTCGCCACCTGATTCCTTTCAGCCACATCTTCCTTTCCTCGGATCTGAGACTAATTATTTGAGACCTCGAGCAGCTGTTCGAGGATGGCACTGAGGCGGGTACCAGCCCCAGGTCTGCCACGCTGCTGAGGAGCGATGACAGCTAATTGGCCTGGCACTTTGGGAGGCGCGGTGTAATTAAATGCAAACGGTGTGATCCGGATGGAGGGCCAGCCTGCCTGATGCCGGACAAGCTGCCGGCGTTCTGTAAAGCGCTGCCTCTCTGCCCGGCCAGCGACAGGCAAGGACGTGGTGTCTGCCCAGCGCCAGGCCCGGCCGGCCTTCTGGGGGGGATCTGGATCCTCCCCGGATCTCCGCCCGATGCCAGTCACCAAAGCCGCCGTGTCTGCGGGCCCCTTGCCGGGCTGGGACACTAAGAGCCTGGTTTGTTAATACCGGGAGGGTTTTAATGAGGTCCTGGGTATCTAATCCCTGCGGGATTAGCACCAGTAACGAGCTTTGGTCTCTAATCTTGCTGCAGCTTCTTAAGAGCCGCGATGAAATACGAGATACTAACGTGGCCCGAGCGAGATGAGGGCGACAGGGCCACCTCGGAGGGGCGACCTGCTGGGGACAGGAACGTCCTGTGTTTTCAAGCTCCCCCTACACAAAGGCGAACGTACGGCTGCCGGAAGCCACTATTTTTCTTTTTCTTTTTTAAAAAAAACATATTTTTATTGATTTTTTACAGAGAGGAAGAGAGAGGCATAGAGAGTTAGAAACATCGATGAGAGAGAATCATCGATCAGCTGCCTCCTGCACACCTCCTACTGGGGATGTGCTCGCAACCAAGGTACACGCCCTTGACCGGAATCGAACCTGGGACCTTTCAGTCTGCAGCCGAAGCCGCTATTTCCAATGCCACTTAGCATGACTGAGTAGGTTCCGGTGCACGGACATGGAGACGGGCGGTTCCTTGTGGCTGGAGACTTTGAGTCATGGCTGTGTCCCGCACACCAGGCTGGGGCCTGGCACATGGGTGTGCCACCAATGTTTGCTCGGTAAGAGGGGCGTCTGAATCATGTGGAGTGAGAGCACACCAAGACCGCAGAATGCGACTGCTTTTGAGAAAGGGCCTTTAAGGTGATGAAGTTAAAATGGGGTTGTTAGGGTGGGCCCTCGCCCAATAGGACTGGTGTCTTTTTAAGAAGAGATTAGGCCCTAGCTGGTGTGGCTCAGTGGATAGAGCATCGGCCTGTGGACTGAAGGGTCCAGGGTTCGATTCCAGTCAAAGGCACATATCCGGGTTGTGGGCTTGATCCCCAGTAAGAAGGCAGCCAATCGACGATTCTCTCTCATCACTGATGTTTCTATTTCTCTCTCTCTCTCCCTTCCTCTCTGAAGTCAATAAAAATATATATTTTTAAGTTAATCATGACATTCGGTGCAGAAACAAAAGCTGATTTCCCCTGTGAGCTTCTGTTTCTGCCCCTGTGACATGGGGGTGGTTACAGGGCCTGTCTGTGTGTCCCACCATCTCTCTTTTTTATTTTTATTTTTATTTTTATATTTTATCGATTCTTTACAGAGAGGAAGAGGGTTAGAAACATCGATGAGAGAGAATCATCCATCAGCTGCTTCCTGCACACCCCCTACTGGGAATGTGCCCGCAACCAAGGTCCATGCCCTTGACCGGAATCGAACCTGGGACCCTTCAGTCGGCAGGCCGACGCTCTATCCACTGAGCCACACCGGTGTCGGCTGTCCCACTGTCTCTTGAAGACTGGCACAAATTCTAAACCGAGGAGAGGCAGGCGGGAGTCACAGCGCCCTTGCAGGGGGGACAGGGACCGGGGGACCCCAGGCGGCCGTGCCCCCCGCTTACCGTAGGTGAACATGCGTGGCGAGGTCAGCTCGATGTTGGGCAGGGCGCCCAGGTGGTTGAGCACGGCGCAGCGGTAGCCGTTTTTCTGGGCGTAGTCCACAAAGGTCCGGATGTACTGCTTCTCGCTGTGGTTGGCAATCCCGGGACAGATGACCATGGTGATGTCATCTGAGGGGGGCGGAAGAGATCCCGGGATATCCATAAATAACGAGCATCACAATAAATCAGGACATGGTTACACATACTGGCTTAGAAAACAGCAGGAGGAACTTGAACATGCATCCTTTTTCTCAGTTCTCTGGGAAATAATATCTGTCCCTTCTATCTGGAGCTGCCTCTCACCTTTAAAAAAAAAAAAATAAATAAAATAAAATAAAAAAATATATATATATATTTTTTATTTTTTATTTTATTTTTTTACAGAGAGTAAGGGAGAGGGATAGAGAGTTAGAAACGTCGATGAGAGAGAAACATCGACCAGCTGCCTCCTGCACCCCCCGACTAGGGATGTGTAACTGGGCATGGCGGAGACATAAATATTTGAAAGATCAGCTAGGAGACTTATAAACACGAGGTGAATTCCTTGCCTATCGTTTATTCATTCTTTCCGGGACTGTCTGTTGGGAATCTGCTGTCTGGACTCTGGGGAGTCTTCCATTCTGGCAGACAGATACTCAACAAGCACACAAATAAGTTTAGAGCGTGGCAGGTAACCTCAAGCACAAAACCGGGGAGCCGTGATGGATTTCCTGCGAAAGAAACACTTATTAGGAGCGGGGAGGGGGGGTACTGTGCCTCTGAGGAGGGGGCATCGGAGGTGAGACCTGATGACAAAAGGAGGCAGTCACGTGATAGTCAGGTGACAAGCATTTCAGACAGAGGGAACATAAAGTAACCCCTCATCACTAGCTACTCAGCAGTTTTTTGTTTTTAAAAAATATATATTTTATTGATTTTTTACAGAGAGGAAGGGAGAGAGATAGAGAGTCAGAAACGTTGATGAGAGAGAAACATCAACCAGCTGCCTCCTGCACACCCCCCACCGGGGATGTGCCCGCAACCAAGATACATGCCCTTGACCGGAATCGAACCTGGGACCCTTCAGTCCGCAGACCGACGCTCTACCACTGAGCCAAACCGGTTTCGGCTCAGCAGTTCTTTTACTTTAAGTAACTGAGAGTTAGAGTATGTTTAATCCACCCATAAATTTAAAAATATATATATTTTTATTATTTTCAGAAAGGAAGGGAGAAAGAAAGAGAAACATCCATGATGAGAATCATGGATCGGCTGCCTCCTGCACGCCCCCTACTGGGGATTGAGCTCACAACCTGGGCATGTGCCCTGACCGGGAATCGAACCGTGACCTCCTGGTTCATAGGTTCACGCTCAACCACTGAGCCACGCCTGCCAGGCCACCCATAAACATTGACAGAGCTTTTATAAAACAAAACCGGGTGCCTTGGCACACCACAGAATTCAAAAGACGTGTTCTCTTCCGGTCGGAATGGCATTCAGATGGGGCTGCCATCTAACTCCACTTCCTCTAAGCTTTCATTTGTGAAGCATTTTGTGAGTATTCATGGCGCAGGCTGGACAGAGCACTAGGAATAAGAGGAGTCTTTGAGAAATAGGAATCCCAGCCTCCGGCCAGATATCAATATATAGACCTTAATGTCTCTTTTTGTGCATGGAAACCTAAGAGGGCACCTGAGAGAGCCTTTATCTGCTGCTATGCAACCAACACAACCAGCCTACACTGCATCCCTAAGCTCCAGCTCCCTCATCAGTAACGTAGGGACAATAAGGCACCCACCTGCTGAGGGTTAAATGATATGATAGTACTACAGACCCGGAGCACAAAATTCATGCACTGGGTGTGTGTGTGGGGAGTCCCTCAGCCCGGCCTGTGCCCTTTTGCAGTCCGGGAGCCCACAGGGGAAGTCTGACTGATGGCTTAGGCCCGCCACCACCTCTGTGCTCTCCAGCCATGAGCCTGGCTCCTGCATTGAGCATCTGCCCCCTGGTGGTCAGCGCACATCAGAGTGAGCAGCTTGAGTGGCCTTAGCATATCATTAGCATATTACGCTTTGATTGGTTGAACAGACAATTAGCATTATTAGGCTTTTATTACCTAGGATATATAAAGCACGGCTTCTGCTGCTGTCATCAAGCTAGAGGCCTGGTCCTGGGGAGCCTGGGCTCCGAGCTCTCCCTCATCCCTTTGCATGAAGCTTCTGTCTCTCTCAAGAGGACTGGAAACTGCATTCGACAACGCCTGTGGGCTGTACATGGTGACCGGCCCCAGGCGGACCTAAGCCTTGTCAGGTGCTCCTGTGTGACGTATCTCAGCAGATTTCTTACCGGGCCCTGGATACTGTGCACACTGTGCTCCCTCACTGACTAGTGCTCCTTCTCCGAGGGGTGGCCCAATCATACGACTTATTCTCGCTCACCTCCAACACAATGCTCGGCCATGGGCTCGAAGAGGTCGAAGGTCGAAGTGGCGCCATCGGACATGGTGATGAACTTGCGGTGCCCATACGGGTGTGGTGACCTCACCCTGCCCATCTTCCCGTACAGAGCTGTTTGGATGTGTCCGCTTTTCCCCCAGATCAGTGGCGGGATGTATCTAAGAAAGGAGGAGATGAGAGGTCAGTGGTCTCCCCATTCCTCGAAAAACGCTCTCCAAAACCTTTGTGCAAAAGTCTTTAAAGCTATTTAAGATGTTTCCTGACAAATTCTGTACACTATACATAAATGAGATTTAAAAATATATATATATATATATTATTGATTTTGTACAGAGAGGGAGATAGCGAGTTAGAAACGTCGATGAGAGAGAAACATCGACCAGCTGCCTCTTGCCCATCCCCTACCGGGGATGTGCCCGCAAGCAACGTACATGCCCCTGACCGGAATCGAACCTGGGACCTTTCAGTCCCGCAGACCGACGATCTACCACTGAGCCACACCGGTTTCGACCCTTCCTCCATTTACTAATACATCCTGTATCAGATTAGCTTCAGCAATCAGCCAGGGCATGCTTATCTGGACAGGATTTCAAATTTAGGGTGTTCAGGAATTCAACACAGGTTATTTTCGTAACGTAGAATAAAAAGAAAGCAAGTGATACATTATAAAAAAATGCTACATGACAGGGCAGCCTCATCAAATGAGTGATTGTATATAAAGCAGTAGTAAAGAGCCGACACTCACTAATGCTCACTTTTTTTCTTTAAACATATTTTATTGATTTTTTACAGAGAGGAAGGGAGAGGGATAGAAAGTTAGAAACATCGATGAGAGAGGAACATCGATCAGCTGCCTCCTGCACACCCCCTACTGGGTTTGCCTGCAACCAAGGAACATGCCCGTGACCAGAATCGAACCCAGGACCCTTAAGTCCGCAGGCTGATGGTCTACCCACTGAGCCACACCGGTTTCTGCTAATTCTCACTTCTTCCCCTTCCCCTACACGACTGTAGTGGCTACTCCTTTCGCCAGACCTGCTCTGTTACACTGGGAAGGGCTGCAAACTTTTCTGAGAGCCTGTGAGTGCATTGGGCGTGTGTGTCGGGGGTGGGAGGGCATTGTAGGCCCCTACAGAATGCGCTGGAAGGGCTGAGCAATGTAAATATTTGTTGAACTGTTGAAGGATAAAGGCTGGTCAGCCTACGCAAGGCATGACGCCACCTTAACAAGCAAGCGTCCTTCGTGAAAACTTGGGATTGACTGGTCCTTGGGTAGAGAACTCAAAACCCACAAGCTAATTACTGGGGAAACGGGACACTCCAGGTTGCTTTTAGGAAATGTTTACTACATTTCACAACCACAGGGCAAGAGGATCCCCGTTGACTGAAGTGGCTATTGGTTTCTCTCCTGCAGCAAGAGCGTGATGGCTGGCCAGGGTTTATGTTCTAATATAAACTAGAGTCCTGGCCGAAACCGGGAAACCGGTGTGGCTCAGTGGGTAGAGCATCAGCCTGTGGACTCCAGGGTCCCGGGTTCGATTCCGGTCAGGTGCATGTACCTAGGTTGCGGGCACATCCCCAGCAGTAAATCTGAAAATACGAAGATATATCGACAAAATAATATGCACCCTAACAATGGGAATTCGGCTGTAGCATGACTGGAGTCTGGTTACTGTGTTCTTTCAGTAAATAAAATTCAGTCTGAGATAAAATTGAGGATATGTACGGGCGCGCGTGCATGCATGTGTGTGTGTGTGTGTGTGTGTGTATGTGTGTGTGTGTCTAAACAACTGCCTTGAGATCCCCTGAGACCTCAGTTCAGCGGTGCACAGTGGAAGTTAAACAACCTTTAATTTTATGACAATTACCACCTACTGATCAAACACTGCTTTTTAATTGACATCCCAATAACACACCGGGTTTACAAATTTGAAACTGTGGACAGTATTCACTGTGCTGGGGCTTTTTGGTGTGCTTTTACTGCTTATGTAATGCATCCGCGTACCAAAAAAGTTGCAAAACAAAAAACCAGAATCGGTGCCCGGGCACCTGGTTTAGTTAAGCGAGGAAATACGGGCTCAAACCATGACCAACTTAGAAATGTATAAAAACACACAAGCACTTAAGAGATGCCACTGAAGCCGGAACCAGTTTGAGCGTCGGCCTGCAGACTGAAAGGTCCCGGGTTCGATTCCGGTCAAGGGCATGTACCTTGGTTGCGGGCACATCCCCGGTAGGCGGTGTGCAGGAGGCAGCTGATCGATGTCTCTCTCTCTCATCGATGTTTCTAGCTCTCTATCCCTCTCTCTTCCTCTCTGTAAAAAAATCAATAAAATATATTTTTTTAAAAAGAGATGCCATTGAAAAGGTCCATGGAGGAAATGCTTTACTCTAACTACCTGCTTGGTACAGCTGCCAAGACCCACCTATTCCTGTCCCCACGGGACCAGCGGCCTCCGCCCCCTGCAGGAGTGCAGGCTGCCTGCGGCCGGTTTGGGCTGGCAGAGTGCGGTGGGAGGAATGCGGTCAGATCTGGGCCTGGCCTTTCTCAGGCTGGAGGCCTGGCGGCTTCCGGTACCCCCCGGCCTGGCACCACGCTGACGAGAGGCGGGGACCCACTCCCTGAGGTGATAAGGAATGGGCCTCGGGCAGAGGCCGGCAAACTCATTAGTCAATAGAGCCAAATATCAACTGATGAGAGAGAAACATCGACCAGCTGGCTCCTGCACACCCCCCACCGGGGATGTGCCCGCAACCAAGGTACATGCCCTTGACCGGAATCGAACCCGGGACCTTTCAGTCCGCAGACCGACGCTCTATCCACTGAGCCAAACCAGTTAGGGCTCAATGCTGTTTTTCCTACACTAATTTGCATGTACTTCACGTGTGTGCGTGCACGTGTGTGTGTGTGTATGTGTGTGTGTGTGTGTATGTGTGTGTTTGTTGTTTTTCAGCTATTCTTAGAGTTGAGATCTGGGCTTATTTATCCCTAATTCTCTGAAAGCGGAGGTGATGTTGTCTAGTTTACTAACCGTATGGGGTTCTGTCACAGTGTACTGGGACCAGTGGTTAGTCAATGCTGGTCACTAAGAAAGCAGCTAGACCACAGCACAATGCAGAGGCCAGCCTGCCCTTGTCTTCTGAACCTATTTTTTTTAAAAAAATATTTTATTGATTTTCCACAGAGAGGAAGGGAGAGGGATAGAGAGCTAGAAACACCAATGAGAGAGAGAGAGAGACATCGACCAGCTGCCTCCTGCACACCCCCTACCGGGGATGTGCACGCAACCAAGGTACATGCCCTTGACCGGAATCGAACCTGGGGACCTTTCAGTCCGCAGACCGATGCTCTATCTACTGAGCCACACCGGTTTCGGCCTGACCCTATTTGTAACCGGCACCTGGCTGTGCTAACAGAACTGCCCCTGGGACAGACTCCAAGGGAGAATCTAGACCCCCCTCCCACCATACACACACAAACGCGTTCACATGAGCAAGGACAGATGGTTGCTGGGCTGGTTTAGGGAGAATTTGAAAAAACAAAGGTGACTCATGCTCTTCTTTGCCCTAAATCGGTGAGTGACTAATTCTCCCTGGGGGGACTCGGGTCCCTTGGCTGTAGATCAAACCACGTTATAGTTGGGGAACCCAGACTTAGGTCTCAGAGAGAAAGGCCATTTCTGAGCACTCATCTCCGAGTGGAGGACTGGGCTAGTCAGGGCCCTCATTTAGGCTCTACAATGACTCTGAGCAATGGCATCACACCCATTTTACAGATGAGGAAAACTGAGTCTTGACCTGCCTGGTCTCACAAAGACTGGAATCAAGGTCAGGTCTCTGAGTTCTGTCCAGAGCTTTCTCTTTCTGTGTCATGCTCAAGACGGTTTGTTTGTTTGTTTTTTAAGAAATATATTTTATTGATTTTTTTTTTTTTTTTTTTTTTTTTTTTTTTTACAGAGAGAAAGAGAGGGTGATAGAGAGTTAGAAACATCGAAGAGAGAGAATCATCGATCAGCTGCCTCCTGCACACTCCCTACTGGGGATGTGCCCGCAACCAAGGCACATGCCCTTGACCGGAATCGAACCTGGGACCCCTTAGTCCACAGGCCGACGCTCCATCCACTGAGCCAAACTGGTTTTGGCAATGCTCAAGACGTTTTAACTAGAAGTCAAAATGATGAACACTTTTTTTTTTTTATCCTCACCCAAGGCTATTTTTTCATTGATTTTTAGAGATTGGAAGAGGGAAGTCAGAGAGAAACATCGATGTGAGAGAAACACGTACATTGGTTGCCTCCTGCACATGCCCTGACCAGGAGTGGGCCAGAGGAGGCTGCAACCAAGATACGTGCCCTTTACTGGAATCGAACCCGGGACCCTTCAGTCCACAGGGCAACGCTCTATCCACTGAGCCACACCGGCTAGGGCAGTGGTTGGCAAACTCATTAGTCCACAGAGCCAAATATCAACAGTACAACGATTGGAATGTCTTTGGAGAGCCAAAAATTTTAAACTTAAACTTCTTCTAACGCCACTTCTTCAACATAGACTCGCCCAGGCCGTGGTATTTTGTGGAAGAGCCACACTCCAGGGACCAGAGAGCCGCATGTGGCTCTCGAGCCGCAGTTTGCCGACCACGGGGCTAGGGCAAAATAATGACCATCTTTGTGCCTGTTTTTTTTTTTTCCTGTCTGATCAACTGCTGGAATGTTATATTACATTCTGTTTAGCCAAGTTGATAATTGAACTTGCCAGAACTTCTCTTTGGTGTTATTCATGTACTACATTAAACAAACAAAAAAACTCCAAACACATTTCTTTGATTTTACATGTGTTTGTACAGCTGTAACCAGCTTTTTTGATGTGAGTGAATTTTTTCTGCAGGAGTTCCATCTGGGGTTAATTGATGAGAATACTCACACTTGATTATTCCTCTGATCAGGCCGGAGTGTTAATAAAAATCCCACTGAGCATGTCCCCAAAGAGAACGAGGCCCAGGAGAGGGTCGATGTTTCTCTCTCATTAATGTTTCTAGTCTCTATCCCTCTCCCTTCCTCTCTGTAAAAAATCAATTAAAAAAAATATATATCGATAATTTATTTTTATTTTTTTACAGAGAGGAAGGGAGAGGGACAGAGAGCTAGAAACATTAATGACA